TCTTCTGTAGCTCTTGTGGTAACTCCAATCTGTAAGCCACTGGCCCTACTCGTTCAATGACCTGATACGGTCCAATGAACCTAGGACTTAGCTTTCCTTTCTTGCCAAATCTTAATACCTTCCTCCATGGGGAAAATTTGAGAAATACCCAATCGTCGACATTATACTCAATTTCTCTACGCTTCAAGTCAGTGTAGGACTTCTGGAGATCCGAAGCAACTTGTAATCTAACCCGTATTAAGCGAACCTTTTCTTCTACCTCACGAACAAGGTCGGGTCCTTCAAGCTTAGGCTCATACGGTGTTCTGCAGTGTCGACCATACAATGCCTCGTACAGTGCCATCTAAATGCTAGCTTGGTAAATGTTGTTGTAGACAAACTCCATCAACGGCAGATATCGTTCCCAACCATCACCAAAGTCAATGACGCAAGCTCTTATCATGTCCTCTAGGATCTGAATCGTTCTCTCAGACTAACCATCCGTCTGAGCGTGAAACGGTGTACTGAAATTGAGCTTAGTACCAAAAGCCTTCTGGAGACTCTTCCAGAATTGAGATGTAAATCGTGAATCGCGATCTCAGATGATAGACACAGGCACTCCACGCAGTCTCACAATTTCTCGAATGTATAGCTCAACTAACTTCTGCAAGGAAAAGTATTGTCGGATAGGAACGAAGTGAGCTTACTTAGTTAATTGGTCCACAATGACCCATACTGCGTCACTCTTCTTGTTCGATAGGGGTAAGCCTATCACAAAGTCCATCGTGATTCTCTCCCATTTCCACCCAGGGATAACCGGTGGGTGTAGCAATCCACTCAGCACTTGATGCTCCGCCTTAACTTGGTGACAAGTCAAGCATCTAGACGTAAACTCCGAAATTTCCCGTTTCATCGTCGGCCACCAATAAGTCTTCTTGAGATCTTGATACATCGTATTTCTAACGGGGTGCATGGTGTACACGGTTTCATGAGCTTCCTGTAGCATCCGTTCTCTCACTTCACTGCCAGATACCACCAAGCGGTCCCTATAGAATAACACCCCATTGCCACCAATGGTGAAGTCTTATCTCTCCCCCTTAGAGACAAGTTTGCAAGTTTTCACACAGAAGTCATTCTTAGCTTGGGACGTACGGATCTCCCTGTCCAGCATCAGTTGGAGTCGTTGTTCAGCCATAGTCTTTCGACTCAAAGCATCAGCCACAACATTGGCCTTTCCTGGGTGACAGTCGATGTAGGAATTGTAGTCCTTGATCAATTCCAACCATCTTCGTTGTCTCAAATTTAGCTCCTTTTGGGTCAGCAAATACTTCAAGGTCTTGTACTCCGTGTGGATATAAGTAGTCTCACCAAATAAGTAATGTCTTTAAATCTTTAACACAAATAACACTCCTGCTAACTCCAAGTCGTGCGTAGGGTAGTTACCCTCGTGAGGTTTCAACTAGCGTGAGGCGTAGGCCACTACCTTACCCTCCTGCATAAGCACACAGCCGAGTCCACTGTGGGATGCATCACTGAAAACTGTGTAGTCCTTGCCAGACACTGGTTGTACCAGCACTGGTGCCTCGGTCAAACATTTCTTGAGTTTCTCAAAACTCTGTTGACATGCGTCAATCCACACAAATTTCACATCCTTCTTTAGTAATTTGTTCAATGGTGATGCAATGGATGGGAAGCCCTCCACGAAGCGCCAGTAGTAACCAGCTAAGCCGAGGAAGCTCCTCACCTCCCGCGCATTCCTCGGAGTCTTCCACTCCGTTATAGCTGATATCTTATTGGGATCCACCTTGATGCCCTCATTGGAAATCACATGCCATAGGAACGAGACTTCGTTGAGCCATAATTCGCATTTTAACAGCTTAGCGTAAGGCTTGTGCTTTCTTAGCACACTAAGTACAATCTGCAAGTGTTTTGAATGCTCCTCTAGTGTCTTGGAGTACACCAGAATGTCGTCAATGAACACCAGCACAAACTGATCTAGGTAGGGACGGAAGACACCGTTCATCAAGTTCGTGAAAATCGCTGGGCCATTTGTTAGCCCAAACGACATTACTGTGAATTCATAATGCCCATAACGTGTTCGGAAAGCCGTCTTCAGTATGTCTTCTTTCTTCACTGGAATCTGATGGTAACCTGACCGGAGGTCTATCTTTGAGAACATTGTAGCTCCTCTGAGCTGATCAAACAAGTCATCAATTCGCGGTAGTGGGTAGTGGTTCTTAGCAGTGGCTTTTTTCAACTGCCTGTAGTCAATACACAATGTCATGGATCCATCCTTCTTCTTGACGAAGTGAACGGGCGCTCCCCACGGGGATACACTCGGCCTGATGAACCCCTTACCCAATAATTCTTGCAGTTGAGCCTTCAGCTCCTTCATCTCCGCAGGTGCCATGCGGTATGGTGTCGCAGAAATCGGCTCTGTTCTTGGAACCATATCGATCGAGAATTCCACTTCCCTTTGCGGTGGCAAGCCAGGGAGGTCGTTGGGAAACACATCGGGGAAGTCACAAACTGCAGGAATATGTTTCTGCTTGGGGGTTTCCTTTCTGGTATCATGAACGTGACACAAGAACGCTTCGCACTTCTTCCGAATGAGTCGTTTTGCTTGTATATAAGACATAAATTCCGGAAGCTTGGGGAACAGCTCCCCCTTAACTTCTACAATGTCACCATCGTCGGTCTTTAGTCTCACGATGCACAAACCACAATCAATTATTGTTTGGCGTTTGGTCAGCCAATCCATACCAAGGATAATGTCAAATTCCTTGTATGGTAGCTCGGACAGATACGGTATAGGTGATTAAGTCGCATGTTATGCCCTAACAGATTAGATACTACCATAGGATATTCTAGATCACTCTTTGGATGTCAGATTTCTCAGGCATAGGAACACAAATATAGGACAACGTAGATCCTGGGTCAATTAATGCAAGCATAGGAGTGTCGAATAATGAAAACATACCCAGGATGACGTCACGATTCACTTCCGTACGTCCTTGCATGGCGTAGGTGCGTGCGGGAGTACGTCCCTGCTGACGATTCCTTGTTGGGTCAATTAATCATTGAAAAAAATACATAATTACTTCGGGTGGTTGGTGAAAAGGAGGTGAGAAGATCGTCCCAACCGGTCTTCACCCAAGTTAATTAGAAGAAACTAGACTAAAATCATGCCACTCCCCGGCAACGGTGCCATTTGATGATTGTAGTTTTTCAGGTAGCAAACCTTCTCAACAAAGGGTTACTTTTTCTCTGAGAGTGTCATGTCTCTTGAGGAGTGGATGAGGGGAATTAGCTAATTTCTCTAACTAGGCAAAGGTTAGTACAGGTTTATGAACGTCTTTTCGATATTAAATAAAGGAATTGAAGCAGTGCATAAAGAATAAAGAATTTCACATAGTATAAGCAAGATCTGGAACTCGGGTCAGGACTCATCTAGGTTGGAGCAATAGCATTTCTACCATTACTTACCTATTCCTAAGATTCATAATTACCTTATTTGTCTTGAATACGATAGCCTTACGGCGTATAATATTTTTCAATATATACCTAATTAAATCTTTCAACATTAATTAACTAAACAGAGCAAGAACAATTTCAGGATAATCATTCCAACATGAACTAAACATTAAAAGTATATGCCCAGACTAGCCCGGACCCACTCTCCAAACCTAACTCATACTATGCAAAATAGTTAAATCAACATTATATTAAATCTGGGAACTTAAGTTCCGAACAAGCGGATATTGAACAGATCTGAAGTAGAACAACTCCAAAATGATAAAATAAACTAAAAACTACTTTTCTAGATCGAAATATGATGAAAGGAAGAAGAAACCTGAACTGGAATTGATAATTCCGAGCTCGGGATGTTTGAGAATGGGGGAGATCCATGCTGCTTATATAGCATGGGAGTTGGGGCATCCAAGTCTGGGCGTCCGACCTTTGACGCCCTAACTTTGGGTCGAATGAGATTTTGCCATGTGTCAAAGTTGTGTAGGATCCAAGCTGCTTAAGGCATCCAAGTAGGGGCGACCAAGTTGGAGCATCCAAGTTGGACGCCCTAAGTTCGGATTCTAGAATCTTTGCAAATTCCAGCTCTATTTTGGCCCAGTTTTGCCCCTTTGGTCCCCAAACATTAATTTGACCTCCTGGAAGCTCTTTCAAGCACAAACCTTAGTCCTTTGATGATATTCTTTTTACATTTTCTCAAGTATTTGAACTTAAAACAAATGATTTAAGATGGTTTCATGTGGAATCCCACTTTATGAATCTTAGAATGAAAACAAGATTTTATTCAAGGAAAACATATTTTATGAGATGATTAAGTACTATTTGCATGCAATAACATTTAGAATATGAAGTAAAATATAAGAACGAAACAGTCTTATCACTACATAAGGCTCTTTATGGTCTCAAACAAGCCCCTCGTGCAAGGTATGAACATCTCATTGAACACTTGATATCCCACGGGTTCTCAAAGGATAAAATTGATCTAAACTTATTTGTACGATTAGAAGGTAAAGATATTATTGTCGTACAAATTTATGTCGATGATGTTATTTATGGATCTACTAATGAGCTTTTTGCAAGGAAGGCTCTGAAATAATGACTAATGAATTTGAAATGAACTTGGTGGGAGAAACACTTCATCTTTTACTCCATTTTTAAAACACATCTTTTACTTTTTGATATTAAACACTTTTACTTTTGAATAAAACGACTAATATGTCCAAATATAGTACTCCGTAATTCCAATATACATCCATTTTGTATTGGTATATTTATTTACTACGTAAGTAATTTGTCTTTTCTTATTCAATGCTAAGAATATAATTGAAAAGTTAAATTACATAAATAAATCTATCAAAAGTCAAAATATGAACTGTTTCAAAAACAAAAAGTAAAATTCAAAACTAACTAATTTAATTTCATAGAGTTTCAACTCCAAATCAATTTCCATTTCGTGTACGAAACAAAACCTTAGTATAATTACAAGTAGAAAATCATACGAAGTATGTATATTTATATTCAAATTGAATCATCATGTTTAAATACGAATCACAAATCAAGTAAAAATTATTCTCCTTCATCCGCACAACGTTAGTCCTTACACTACTTCTACTAAACAATCTCAATTTTTTTATGAAAAAACAAACTCAATTTGATTGGTCAATGTTCGTGCATTTCATCAATTTTAGGACACCTCATGCCTCACTCTGTTTAAGCTCGGGTTGCAAAACATATGATTATGCAAGCATTGATAACGCTTTGTTCCGTCAATCCTCAGGAATATATCTATTCCTCCTCGCACCAAATGCGATTCGCTGTAAAAAGTATATGCAGATTAATGAATAACAGTTTCATGAAGAGAGAAAAACGACAGCGGCTACAGAAGTCAGAAGGGATGGAGGTTTTCACCATACTTAACTGAGAATATCTGTGAATATGCTTTTAATCCGGTGAGAAAACGAATGTAAGTAGGTTTTGTCGATCCACGTGTGGGTATGGACCTAATGTTTGGGACAAGATAATTGGCAACCTGCAACCGTGACAAAAGGAGAACTAAGAGGGCACTTCTGATGTGATTGGGATGGAATTCAATCAAAGAATTTAAGACAAACAAATAAACCCATTAGAATCCTCCAGAAGTAGGGACTGTGTAGGGTGTGTGTACACAAACCTTACCTCTACTTGAAAGTAGAGAAGTTGTTTCCAAAATACTTCCGGCACAAAAAGCACAGATAGTGTAAACATAGTAGCACAAACAAGGTGAGATCACAAGCTCAAGTAGCACACATAACACTGGCAACTAGACACACATGCACAAGCTATGGACTAAAGCAAAAACCACATCAGGAAGTACAAATTTAGGCCAGGTGATATATATCCGGGAGCATGCCCAAAGACTATCCGTAGTCCACCAAGGGAAAAACGGATCAGGGGAATAAAGCCCAAGTGTGGTGACATTAATTGGGTTGAACCTTCTCCATTTTCCTGTCTTAGAACCCAACACCATGGTTGTCCTACACCCACCCCCTAGGCTGAGACCACACTCCCCATACCTTCCCTAAACATCCAAAATATTTCCTTTTCAAAATAAAGTTTTTCCTACTCTTTATTTAGCCATGGCCAAAAATAAGAGTGTGTAAACCAAAACCTTTTTGTGTGTTGTTATTTTCCTTATTCTAAGCCTTTTAATAAACCAATAAAACCCTCTCTTCCTTCCTTTCATTCCCTGCCCAAATAAACCTCACAATCCCAATACAACACCCACAAAGAGCCAAAAACCATGACCCACCTCCAGCCCCTACTTCCTGCCCATGTTTCCCTCACAATAACCCAAAGCCATAACTCCAAAACACCCATAAATATTACCCAGCCCTGTCCCCTTTTATTGGCCAAAAACAACCCCTCATTTTTACCCAAATAATACCCACAAAACCCAGGAAACAACCACTACAAACTCAAAACACAAACCCCCACAACCCCAGCCCCATCCTTGATTTTAGTCCACCAAGGAGACAGGATTGAAGAAAGATTACCCCATGCTTTGGAGAAGGATGTTGCTAGGAAGTTTCCTAATGTCTACATTCAATGTATTGTGTGTTTCTTCCCCCTTTCCCCTGCCTATATAACTCAGGCCTGTGGCTATTGTAAGACATCTTTGAATATTGAAAAACCTTTTACTCTTTGCGTATTCATAAAAGAAATATTTGCACTAAATAACACTAAAACTTAAGTCATTTCTCTAAATAGCACTTAGATTGTTTTCTTCCCTAAATAGCACTTTATAGTGTCCATAATGACCAGTGATAGCAAACATTTACTTGAATAATGACTAATGGATAATGACTAAAAGTGCTACATTGAGAAAAAACATATGTAGTGCTATTTAAGGAAAATTATTATGTTTTAGTGCTATTTAGGTAAATTCCTCTTCATAAAATAGTGTGATGCTATTTTAGCCAAATTCCTAATTCTATATCTTAAGAGTGGTTATCTTAAGTGTGAGTTTTAGGTTCTAGATATTTGATTAAGTGTGTCATATCTTAATTAAATTCTAGAATCAAACCCCAAGTTAAGATAAGGGTGTGTAATATCTCTTAACACCAACTTGGTTTTATCCATCATTATTTTCTATCCATTTCTTTTCGCACCATTTCTATCCTTGATCCCCTTTCTTTCCTCAAATTAAAAATACCAAAAGAACTCCTTCATCATCCCCATATCTTTCCAAGCCATTTCCCCACAAAACATCCTTCTTCCTGCCTAGAATTATGCCCAATAATCGATTATCTTGATTGACAATCGATTATCCGTCATCGTTGAAACACCTGCAGCCTTCAATAATCGACTGTCGCCTTTGACAATCGATTATCAGTCCTCATTTGAAACACCCGCAGCCCTCAAAAATCGATTATCATAGTCTGATAATCGACTATCAGCACTCCCTGAAGATTCTGGGAGTTTCTCATAAGAAACCAAACCCCTTGACAATCGATTACCCAACCTGGACAATCGATTATCCTCCAATCCTGCAAATTAAAGAGCCTTGCCCTCAAGTCCGAGCTTAATACCGATAAACCCCGAGCGTAGATATAACACCAGGGGTCGACCCGGCTATTCTAATCCTACCTCTCCATGTGCTCCTATCTAAGGTCATATCCTTGGTAAAATAATGAAGACATATGTCCCGCCTAATCACTTACTCCCAGCTCTACCTCTACCCCTACTCACGCTCATTGGTTCAATCCTCTCATATCAAAGATTTTAATTGTTAAAAATAAGCAGAGAATACAAATCAGGGAAGTATGGAAGATACTGACCACATCCGGGGGCTCTGCCAATACGTTTATGAAAAATTTGGCCTGCACATAACAAATGCCATTAAATGGACATCATAAGGGAAATGGAAAGCATTATGGTCGCGTTCTAGTACACAACCTGCTTCGTGGTAGCACCAGACATAAGCAGATCAGTGGTGACCATTCCAGGCTGCCCATCCATCAGAGAGAGTGATTGAGCAAGTGAATATGATGAATATTGTCGAGCTAAAGATAGCATAAAAATTAGATCCAATGCCGCATTTTTGTTAGGAGGTGGGACTGAAGCATTTGGAGGAAAATTTTTTTATTTAATGCCCTCATTTTTGTACAACGGAACCTCACTACTTTCATGTTCACCAACTTAATCGCAAGTTCGCAACTACATTGTGGTCAGTGTCAGAAATGTAGGATTGCAAATTGGTATAGAATTAATTATTAGCACATAAATCATGCAAAAAGAAATATACTATTGATAAAGTTGAACATGGAAATTGTCATGTTATGGTCATAGATTGATATAGCTGGTATAGCCTTATCCATATTTAATTTTCATGATAATCTTTCACATGTCACATGTGAATAGGAACAGTATTGTTTCAACTTTGAACTGAATATTATTTTATAGAAAAGTATATAAAATACATAAAACATACCGAGAGGTTGTGCACTACAACATTTTTTACATCTTGCATCTCCAATTCAGCCTGCAGGGCAACGGAGAATTGTCATGTATTACAACTACCCTATCTATATATTTTTATATTTACTTGTAGTTGTAATTTTTCAATACCTAATCAAAAAAGTTTACATGCTAAATACTCCGTATAAAACTAACAAATAAACCTCATACATTTAAACATGACTTCATGATTTTTAAAAGTTGTACTTTGAACAAACATGCCTATTTTTGGGACCTGGCCAATATACAAATGATAGAGTTCAAAGTCCCAGTATTACAGTAATATTGCTTGCATTCCTTTCGGAGTCGTGTTTTACTGGCCCCACGGCATTTTACATTCACATGCACGAGTGTGCCTATGGGTATTTGTGTGAACAAAAATTAAGGTGCGCACAATGTGAAATAGTAAGTCCCACCCAAAAATGTGACAATGGACAACATTATTCCCCATATCTTTTGCAAAAATTGGACAATTGGCGTAACTAATTAAAGCACAAATATACCAAAAATAAAGTGAAAAGAGAAGGGGAGAAGTTTACGTGCCTGCAATGATTTTGTAAGGTGCACCACACTACGCTTAGTTGCCCCATAAGCAGCAAATCTGTGAAAAGCGCACAAAATAAATGCATTAATAGAGATGCAACGGCACCAGTGAAGAGAGTAGAGAGTTTTTTTTTATTGAGTGGACCAATCCACACAAGACGTGGGAGGATGATGAATACCTGGGGGTTGGCCTTCCGTTGGATCCAGCTCCATCAACATTAAATACATGACCCCCTCGAGGCTGACTAAGCATCATGCTTATAGCCTAAACTTACCACCATGCATTAGCAAAAGAAAGTATCATGATGAATGATGGCAAATCCTATGTATTTGTTTACCTCTCTGCAGCATAACATCATACCAAGTGTATTTGTTGTGACAACATCACTGCAAACAAATTTAAGTTTCAGAAGAATATCAGAAGGCTGTACACTGTATTACTAAAAATGTGTAAAAGTTTACATAAGATCTTCATCAGAGGCTTCTACTAGTGGTTTGTAGCTATACGCATTTGATCCAGCATTATTAATCTGCATCATTTTCAAGAAGTTGAAGGAAGAGAAACATCATAAAATTGCATCTACAATCTCACACAAGATAAAAAAATATAAAATTTGTTAATGCTTACAACATTACCCCAGTGCCGCAAAACCCACTGTGGGGTAAGGGAGGGACAGATGTACTCAGCCTGACCCTTATGTTTAAAACATTAAGCGGCTGTTCCCAGATGACCCATGAAGAGCATCGAAAGTCGGACTAACTGCTACTTCACTATAAAAAGAAGCATCAATGTAAAGAACTTAGAGTCATTTTTGCCTAATTCCATCATACCCCACCAAAGCCAATTAATTCCATCATACCCCACCAAGTGCTAATTATATTTAAGGATTATTTTCAAAATAATTTTTTTTATAAGGATGACTTTAACAAAAAAATATTTTGCAGGGACCAAAAACAAAACACACCTATTTTACAAGGACTAAAAGCATATTTAACCCTATTAAAAATTTCAAGATCAAGTGATAACATAGTACTAATAATTCCAGTGATGTAGAACAATCAACGGATAAAAAATAATGTAGAACTATAATTCCAATGGTGTGAACTTTTAAATTACACATATAAGGGAAAACATGCAACTGGATTACTTTTCAGAATTCTAAAATCTTTTTAAGAGTATTTCTCATCTGTAATTAATGTGCATCAAATTAATTTTCATACAGAGCTTCTCTTAGTCAGCATGAATAATCAGAAAATTGCCCTAGCACCAACAGTAAAATTGAACTCAAAGAAAAGAGATATCTCAATAATAAATAAGATCAAGTACCCATAGATCTATGTGCTTAAGGTTTTGCTTTGCGAATGCAACTAAGCTTCTTACATCACTGCTATCTCGAACATCGCACTTAGTGCCCTGCTAAAGTGTCAATAGATAGAGCTCACATCTAATGAGTATGATAATCCTCTTCAGGTTGTGGTTACACGTCAAGGTAACAGGCTGGGTATGAGCATATAAGTGCATAATGTTATACAGTAAATAAATCATAAAAAAATGACTGGATAGTGTTAAACAGTACATGCAGCTAGCTGAAAGGTAAAACACTATAATTTCACAATATTTCACATAGTAAAACAGAAATACAAAAAATAAGTGTTAGTCTTAATTCATTGAGGTCAGATACATGAACCAGTAGAAAATTCACCTAGATCATCCACTAAAGTCCTCTTTTCCATTCCTTTCTGTCATGTACCATTTGCTTGAGCTGGGAGTCTTTCGGAAATAGTCTCTACCTTCTCTAGGTAGGGGTAAGGTCGGTGCAAACCCACCCTAAACACCATTTGTGGGATTTTACTGAGTTGGATGCTATTGTTGCTTCTCTACTGTCCATATAACACCTTTTATCCAAGACACTTTCAGTCTACCCCACTTCTCTTGAACTCTCTCACGCTCTAAGAGTTCACTCTCCATGTTAGTGCATGAACTTCTCGATGACTTCCACACTTGAACCAACAAAATTGGTTCTCCCTTTATCTTCAATAACAGCTATACCAACCTTCTCGCAAAATTCCTCTTTGAGCATACGCACTCTTATCATCGAACTTCATAGTTTATAAGGCATATCAGCCACATTCATCTTCCTTAATGCACAACACTTAAATCTGCTTCATTCCTATGAAATTCTTCTATTCAATCTTATTGCTCATTTCCATTTGAGCCAACCTATACTCATCATATTTGTCACACTTGTCCATATATCTTTTTACTTTGTATAATAAGAGCTCATAACAAGAACACCCTCATGCTAGCAATTTTTTACCTCAAATAGTGAGCAAAACGTGTTAGTTAGTGTGTACACACTAAGAGGGAGTGAGCATAACACATTAGTTAGTGAGTATGAAGCACCAACATGCTATCACTATGTCTGGCTAATAATTTTTTAGGCAAAGATGAAGAGTGAAATCTTTTGGGACATCTACTAATAGAAGATTATGTTAGCATGATTTCTAACACGATAGACACCACATCTACATTTCTAACACGATTAGTACGAATTATACAAATGTTATCATTTTTGTAACATAACATTTATATTTTCCAATGATTGGTTACTTTCAACAATTTTCTTCTTCTACATCTTCAATGTATTATTCAATTGAGGATTTTTTTTTGTTTCATAAAGCAAATGAATCTAGAATAAAAGTAATTGGGTGTATTATATGTTGATGAATTAAATTATAGTTGTCATGGCGCATGGCGACATTCATGGCGATGGGCCAATATCACATGGCGATGGCGATGGCGCAAATATGGCATCGCCACAGGACACTAGTCACACAACATAATTAACTAAGATCTACATAGGTATAAGACATGAATTCAATAAAAAACAGTAGAGTACTTGATCTAAATAGTCATGTTGGAACACAAATAAGAAGTTATTCCAAATCCAAAACAATCCAAGGTGCTAGTAGTAAAACAACTTAAGCAAAACTCAGAAGTAATTCAAACTTAAAATTTAGTCTCAAAATTTAAGATATGAATATATAATGGTAAAATCGCATCTTCGTCAACTTCTTGAACCATTGGATTATAGTTGATGCTCGATCCCGCCTCTTTCAAAACCAAGTCTCGGAGACTTGTCTCCAACCCTTCCGAAATAGTAGGACATTCTACTGTGTTACGATGCCCTCCGATCAGATGTTGTTTGAATCTTCTAATCCCACCATTGCTTATACGACCACAAAAATTGCATCCCAAATCATTACTCGAGTTTGGTTTGAGCTTCGTGCAGTGTTCCCAAGCCAGAGAGACAGACATTCTTCAAGAAGTACTAGGCTAGAAAAAAAAATTAAGGCAAAAAAAAAATTAAGGCAGAAAAAAATTGTGAGAAAAATTTATGACAAAAAAAAGCTATGGCAAAAAAATTATACCAAAATAAAATTTATGGCAGAAAAATAAAGAAAAAATATATTAAAGTGAATCACCATTGAAAACATTGGCAGTATAACCAACCAAGTATAATAAGCAATACTTCGTATGAGTTAAAAAAGAAAAAGGAAGTATACTAATGTGTTAAACAAAAAAGAAAAAGGAAGTACTCCGTAAAAGTGAATTGCCGATGTCGCACTCCCCTCTTTCGTCAATCACATATTTGCAGTCCCCTCTTTCCTGAATCGGCTATGGCGAGTCACAAATCTCTCCCAGTTGTGACCAGACACGATGAAGAAGAAGACGATTCAGGCGTGTGGTGGTTCACTTTGCGTGTCGATTGGGAAAATTGAGCGATTGGGGACTATTAATTAAAGGTTTAATTTCTTTATTGGGCCTAATTTATTGGATTTGGGTCGGGTAAAATAAAAAATATGGCGCAACAATGGCGATGGCGCACAATTGGCGTTGCCACAAGTCAGTCGACTGCCACAGGCCACTTTGTGGCGTTTCCGATCCAAATCGCCAAAGGCGCATCTATGGCGCGCGCCATTTGCGCCATTGATAACACTAGAAGTAATTAATATTTATACAAATCATAATGTTAAAAATAATAAAATTACTATAATAATTTAACGTTAATTTGAATAAAATGAGATTAGATCCATTCAGATCACAACCCATCAGATCTTATCAAAATCCAATCAGTTCAGATCCAAGGAGATCAAATCAAATCCATTCAGCAGATTAGACAAGACCTTGAAAAAGTCAAATAAGAACCAATCAGATCAAGCGAACGAAATGTACCCTTAGTTGTGTTTTACACTTATATTTATTATTTTGGTCTCGTAAACTTTGTCTAGTCAAGTAAAACTTGACCGACCTGTCCTTGTTAATTCTGCCCGCTTAAATTTTCACTATCAGTAAAGATTAAATTTGGAATGATTGGTTTGTTTTCAACTCCATCACTCCTCATTTACTCCAAAACTAATAAAGAAAAATCTCCTCCCTTATAATTCACTGCCCTTCTCCCTATTCCCCATAATCCGAACACACTGTTAATAAAATGGCAACTAACAATTAATTAAAATGATAAAAAATAGAGGGTTTATTCTTTTGATACTCTCCACCAAAGTGATTTTTATACTACTTCAATCCCCACAAACTCCTGCCCATGTGCCCCACCTCAACACTCACTTTGAGATTGAATAGAACATCGTAGGAACTTCAAATGGACCCGGTATAGTATTATAACACCAGATTTGGGTCTTAAAATAATCTCACTGTAAAAGCGAACCAACTATATTGACATTGGCAACTAATGTCATAAGATGACATTGGTCTATTTGAAGACAGTACAGTGCTTTGTTCAATCCAACATTATCCAAGGTGGTTCCTACATCTTCTACAACATTAAACCCCCACCTCCTACACCTAATCCCAAGCCCCTAGGCCCCCTCTTTGGGGAAGGGTGGTAGTGCTGGCGGTACGATTAGTGGGGGAGAGGTTAAAGAGGGTAGAAACTAATTCAGGGTCAAACGCAGAACCACATAATCTACAAATATACCAGTTTCATATTATGGCACTTGTAGTCAGTGTTAAAAGAATCACTTTTACCGTCGTAACAATGATATCACTTTTAAAAAAATGATAAGTTAATTAAAATATACTTTGTAATTGTTGTTTTAATGAAATATTCCATAATTCTTAACCAATGCTTTAAATATGAAACACATTATAAATACTGTATTCAAATTGTCATATCATGGAGTTGAAAGATGAGGTCGATTGATAAAAAGTATAATAAGTAAGCGTGTAGGGAAGTTAGGAAAAGATATTTAAAGATATATATGCTATAGTTTAAAGTTCTAAGTCAAAAATAAAATACAAGGACATAGCAAATTTTATGGAAAGAACATCAAAAAAACATAAGTAAACTAAGATTCATTGTGGAAAAATGAAATTTGATATACATGCATTAGTATTATCGCCGCATAGGCGTCTCCCAACTTCTTGTTGTTAAGATATTTCCCATAGACATCACATTTGTAACAAAAACCTATATCAAATTGCATTTGCTCCGCAACATTAAATAAGATATTTTGTGAGCTAAGCTCATTTACTTAAACAAACTTAAGTAAAATTGTTTTATCGAAATGTACAAAAAGAAAATTATTAAAAATTTTACGAGATGAAGCAGTACATAATGCAAATTTAATTAAAAATACATCTCTGTAGTTCCACTCTCGTCAAATAACGTGTAAAAGAGTTTTGAAAAAGAAGGCTCAACCTCGAGCATTCTAACATATTCCTTAATCATGTTTATCTAAAAAGTTATCCATTTAAGCATTGGTTAAGAATTATGGAGTATTTCCCTAAAACATGAATTACAGAGTATATTTTAATTGAAATATCATTTTTATTTTGTGAATCCTTCACAAGTTCTAACATTTTTTTTAGCATCATGAAGAACATTTTTGGTTATATTGATATACTTTCCATGTTAGCATGCTAAGAAGTAATAATAAGTTGAAAATGTAAACTAAAAAATAGTCATGATGAAAATACCCACACATGTTGCTTCCCTGTTTCTTCCCTTAATTTTTCAAGTGCAGTGTCCACTCTTTCAACTGTTTTCCAAGAACAAAAAAAATTCAAATTATTTGAGAGACGTGCAATTACATTGCAAAGCAAAATACAACAACAACCACACATTATCCCAAACCAATAGGGGTCAATACACGAACTAATAGATAATGTCAATAGGTCATTTATTAATATATTCATTCTCTACTCTTCTTTGTCACGCACCATGTTCTCATCATATCATAAACAAGTCAACAACATTGTATTTTAAGTTGCTAGAAATCCTAGAATGCAACCTTCAATTCTATGTAAATTATACTCCCTTCGTCCCAAATAAAAGAGACGTGTTTGAAATCAGTTTTGTCCCTAAAAAGAGTCTTATTTGAATAAAAGAAAATCATTTGAATCATGTTTGATGTTTTTTGTTAAAACAATTGGCCAAAAAAATTGTTTTGAATTTAGTTAAACCAAAATATAAACTTTAAACTATAGCTATACTTGATTATTCCTAATAGTTGTACACTAGTACCTTACTATAAAATTGTACCTTTGTAGAGCATGATTCTTTTTCCGGGCCAAACAGAAAATATGCTACTTGATAGTAGCACAGATTAGATCTTGATAAGTAGAGCACAAATCATATTTATTTGAAACAAGACAAAGTCATTAACTCCTTATACGCCCTTTATTTCATTTCTCTGTTTTTATGACAAAGTACAAAAAATTTCATTGAATGCTAAGCTGTTTACCTCACGAAAAATCATTCTGGTACAAGATCAAGTAAATGTAAGTGTAGAACACTCCAGACTTTGAAGCATTAATGCATCATTTCATATAATTCTTGCCTGATCTAGAGCATATAAGAACATTATCACCCGCCTTCAAAAATTCCTTGGCAAGTGCATATCCAATTCCTGATATGAAGAGAAAGGCCTAATAACAAATAATTGCATGGGCACAAGAGAGAGATAGAGAGAGAGAGAGAGAAAGAAAGTACATTTGAGGGGATTGTGAGTGACAAACAAAATAGTGATTCTGTACAATAGAGATTCATTTACACAATGATGCTAAATTAGCTTCAATGAGTCTTATAAATCTCAAAACTTTGTTTCATACTTGTGTAGCTATGTCATACTTCATGTGTCCCATAATAGTCTTCCCATTTTCTTTTTATACTCTTTGAATGGTTGATGTTTATTGATTTTATTCAAAAAAAAAAAAGAGTCGACAACAACCAAGTATAATTCCAATTCTATTGGGGTCTAGGGGCCAAGATATATGCAAGCTTACCCTAAAACAAAGAGGTTGCTTTTGCTAGAACCTAGATATATTGCTGCATTCATGGTCCAAAACTTCATTTAAAGAAGCAAGAGAAATTCAATTTTTCACGTTGATTTAGTCCATTATGTGCCTAAACCTAAAATGCTACCAATAATAATTTTTTTAGCTCCATCGGCATATGGAGAGAAAGAGTCAATACCCAGGAATTCTTTTCTTAAAGAGAAATGAGAAAAACCTTTGAAGATGGCCAAAAGAGAGAAGTGAGATGAAGCCGAGTAGTGAATAAATAATCTAAAATACAAAAATTCTATCTTACAAGGCTATCGTACCTGTACCACGAGTTAGTGAGAAATTCCTTTTGAGTTAGTGGGCATATAAGTTTTCTTTGGCCTGTTATGGCAATGGGGCAAGGCCCTTAGCGAACAACTTATTTGTAATTCCTTTGCACGTGATTTCTATTTAATGAGCAATTTGTTTCTAATTAGTGAGCATTAAAGTCTCTCGGTTGAGATATGTGTACCCACAGTTGTACCATAGCATTAGCTCTTCACAATAAGATTCATCAATTGAGAATGCATATGCTAATAAAGTACAGCCCCCTGATACTTTACCCGGCAAGATTGGCAACCAAACAAGCTCTTGAAAGAAAAATCTACTTAGCCACTAGCACTGGGCACATACGAGGCTCAAGGCCATCAAGAACATGGCCAATGGTACAAACCTAAACGGAAAACGAAACAAACCTTTGGAACCGCCGGTGATCAGAACGTTGTAGGGAGGAACCATCTGGTCTGTGTTCCTTTTGTAGTCCCCTCGTGATGAAGAAGAAGAAGAGAGTGCAGACTTGGTCGAAACCCTAAAGTTGCCATGCGAACCCAATTTGAGTTTGATTCTATCAGTAGAAAGCGAATCGATGGAAGTGGAAAAGCGGGGAGGGTTATATTTCAAGATTGGACTGCAAGGGGAAGATTCAGAGAAGAGGTGATTCACAAGTGAAGAACTTTGCATCAGGGTCATAGCTGTCATTATTCCGTCCAATTGGTGCACTTACAGTGTAGTCTGATAGGGAAGAAAGGAAAGGTAGGGAGGGGAGCATTAAAAAGAGGATGAAAAGAGCGGATGAAACTGGAGGAAAATTAGCCACCTATCTTTATCCACCTATCTTTGCATCAGGGTCATAGCTGTCATTATCGAACTGGTGCCTTGCACGGTCTTAGTTAAAGTTAAATAAATAAGGGAAGTATTGATAGAAGTAAAAGATAAAATTCGCTTTAAACAAAGATACGTAATATATATTAAAGAGGAGAAGTTTACAACAACGCACAATGTGATAAAATAACATAATAAGTTTTAGAAAACTTCTTATAGACAACATTTGCAGTTTTATTAGATGTCGCAGTACCTTCACCACAAATCAAAATCTTTAATCCATTGCGATTAGTGACTTGTGATAATGCCACATAAAGCTGGCCATAACTGAATACAGATTTCTTTAGTAAAAGCCTAACATGCGTCAATGATTGTCCTTGACTTTTATTAATTGTCATAGCATAAGAAATCATAATCGGAAATTGTTTCCTTTGAAATTTAAAAGGAATTCTTCCATCCGATGGTGTAAGAATAATCACGGGATAATAATTTCTTGACCAATGTTTTTCCCTGACAACAATCTGAGGATAAAAATATGTTCATATAATTCATCCATGTTTTTTCAGGCCAGTAAATACTTAACCAATAAATATACTCACTCCGTCATTGAGTATTCGTCGACATTTGATTTTTCCCGTAAAAATTAGTAAATTTTGACCTTAAATTAAAAAATGGTATTAGATATTGATACAAAATAGTTTTATTACATTTATTATATCAATTATTGTCAAAAAATTGATTTATCTAATTAATATGTAATTTATATTTTATTTAATTATATGTCAAAAATTGAAAATATACCAAAAAAGTCAAATCAGGATAAAAACTTAGGGAAGGAGATGGAAATATCTAATAGGCAATTGCTCGAAAAATTTTCGTACCTTTGCGTTGCACCATAAAAAATTCGTTATTATATTTGTCACATATTAAAATAAATTTATTAGATGGAGTAGAATATATTATACTTAATAATAGATCAAAAGTTAAAAATACATAACAAAAAAAGTCAAACCTAGACAAAAACTCAGGGACAGAGATAGAAATATATAATAGGCAATGACTAAACTTTTTTCGGCCCACATTTTATTTCCGGCCCAGACTCATTCATATAAAAGCTACTAAATTCTTCCGCCGCATCCACCCCCTCTTTCTCGACATACTTCCTGTCTCTCTCTTTCTTCTATGTTGTTGTTTCTTGATTATTAAACATATACGGAGTACATTTGTTGGTTTCCCTTTAAGCCGATTCTGTTCGTCGATGCATCAATATGGCTTTATTAGGAATTGATATTTTAAGTCAATATTTTTTGGATCGTTTTGCGTTTTGTTTTGATTTTATAGTTTTTTTCATTAAGATCTGTTAGAATGAAAAAGATCTCTAGATTCTGGATTTTCATTACCCGATTTCTTTAGATTCTGGATTTTTTTCATTAGCCGATTTCCATGTGCGCCGATTCGTTTCACTTTTTTTTTCTTCACATTGTTTTTTCGGATGATATTGGGCTCCGTTTTGATTTAATGTATTTTTCATTAAGATGTGTTACAATGCATATTTATATCATCCAACTTATAAATAGATTTCGAAAATTTTATAGTGTGTGTGTGTGTATTATAGACAGGTATATAATTTTCGAAATTATATACTTATATATATATCAATATATTTACATATATATATACACTAACACACACACACACATATATATATACGTATATATACATAAATATATTAATATTTGAAAAATATAAGCCTAGAAAATTATACTTAGCAAGATGTTTTTAATTATAATACACAAATACATATATTTTTTATAAATTTCTTTATTTATATAAGAAGTCATATAATATACTGTGTACATTTTCGAAATTTCTTATACATTATCTTCCCCTTTGCAAATAGGACACAATCTGTTAAGCTTTATAATATACATATTGTAAATTAATACATATAGTGTGTTCTTATTACGGTTAATATGTGTATACCATGTGTGTGTGTGTGTATATATATATGTATATACATACATACATGTATATGCATATATGTATATATGTATGTGATATATATGTATGATAATTATTCCCAGCTCTTTGCCTTTGTTTAAAGTTTTCATGAAATTCAATTTTGTGTGTGTGCCTCATTATAGGGCTGTGATGAGATGAGAGGATTGTGAAAAGTGGTACTGTTATGATATGGCCTCAAACATATCAATTGTGTGTGTGTGTGAATGAATATAGGGCTGTGATGATCTGGAAGGACTGAAATATGTTACTATGATTTTTAGGCTTTTAATGTTTGAGGCATCGAAGAAAGTGAACGTATCTTGGCATGGCGTCACGGAATTAATCCCCGTTGTTGCAGCCATGGCGATTTCTTTTCTTATTTTGCCTCAAACTTAACACCGAATTTAAAAAATCCGAGCCTCTATTGTATATTAATATTTTTTTGTGGGTGCGTGTATGTGTCTATATATATATATATATATATATATATATATATATATATATATATATATATATATATATATATATAGACACACACACATATACTCCCTTCGTCCTATAATGATCTTCCCAGAGCATATTCCAACTTCACGGAAATTTATATTTATTTGTATTTTTTTATGGCCTATATGATAAAATAAAATATTCTTGTCACCACTTGTTTTGTTGAATTTTGGTGTAGTTTTTAAATATGTATGTTTTATTTTTTATTTCTATACCAATATTTAAATAAAATAGATTGAAAGAACTTTTTTCTTCGTTTTGCAAACTGGGAAGATCATTATAGGACGGAGGAAGTATATATATATATATATATATATATATATATATATATATATATATATATATATATATATATATATATATATATATATATATATATATATAATTAATATATATTAATGCACGATTAGATATCAACACACACATATAAACAGATTTTTACATATATCTATTATTTTTTTTATAGATAGTCATATATATATATATATATATATATATAAAATTCATACATTTTCTGACCACTTATATATAGATCTCTTATATATACTCATTTATATTTACATATTTATATATATTAAAATATTACTATATGCCAATATATATCATCATAAGAAATGTGTATACAGAAATGTAGTGAAAGAGAAAAATAAAATAAAAAAATTACATGCTGGTCATGGAAGATACTTCCATGGAACCACCTCTGCGCATGTGGGGAAGTTCTTGGGCTTGGAGACAATTTAAAATAATACATTTAATGTCCATGTACTTAAAGATTTTTTGAATCAATTGAATAAGATATGGATTATACATAAAGTTAATAAAGTAGATCTATTTTACGGAGCCACACAATACTTTAATTTACATTATGGTGAAGTGCACCACTTTAATCATTTCAAAAGGAGTGATATGACATTTCACTAATTGCAGCCTCAAAAGCCGTCCCAATGGCAGGCACAAAACCCGTCCACCAGCCCAATTGTGACCCAGCCCGAATTGGCCCAATTTAGCCCATTGAAATGGGGCAGGAACACTGTTCAAAAGTGCATTTTAGCATTGTATATAGTAAGATTTTGTGGGCATTGGATGAATAAAGTAGTTTGTCAATTCTTATTTTTTAAAAGATTAAATTCCTAAAATGACCTTTTATAATAAGGTGTTTTTCTAATTCAGTTCTTAATAAGTTTTAATTACTAACATGATTTTCTATAATTGAGATTTATTTTTAAGACAGTTCTTCGTAAATAATGTTAGTCAAATGATGATTAATTGAGACATATTTTGGTATTTTGATCATTCAAATTTAAAGTATATTTTCGAAATAGTTATTTCTGTACAACTAAATGTAAAATTGAAAAAATACATTGACTATAAATAATTCATGAATTATTTAACTTATAAAATCTTTTAAATCTCAAAGCAAATACACATCTTTAATTAGAAAAAACCATTTTGAGAAAACACTTTTTAATAAATGATCATTTTAAAAACTAATTCTAAATTTAGAGGATAAAAATACCAAAAAATACTTTCAATTAATCCTCATTGAGTAAAATTATTTACGAAGGACCATCTTGGGAATAAATCTCAATCATAGAGAACCACGTAGGTAATTAAAACTTATTGAGGACTGATTTGAGAAAATACCTTATTACAAAAAACTATTTTGAGAATTTACTCTTTTTTAAAATATTTCTAGTTGAAAAAGTGAGTTTGCTGCTATCTGTCTTGGCCATTACGTGCCGATTTAAATATGCTAAAGTCAAACATGTGTTCGCCGGACACGGTTTAACTAAAATTTCAAATATAAAGAGTGAGTTCAAAGAACACGACTCTTGTGTCCTCTCCACCTCTTTTCCTCTTTTCGTGTTTCATTTTTAACCAAAGGGTATATTTTTATTTAATACCCTAATATATAGTATTAATTTAAATACATAATTTCTATATGGAAATACACCAAGGTTCCCATGACATTGCTGGGCAATGTCATGGGATGACCCGGGGCCGCTCTGGTGCCCCGTTCGAAAAATTGACGGTTCCTACCCCTCCTAACCCCCCGGTAAACCCCCCCACCCCGCCCCGACCTGAACACACCCCCCACCCTCTCCAATTGCACCCCACAAGTTGATTTTGACTTTGCAGTAAAAATTTGACTCTAAAGTCAAAATCAAGTTTTGGGGTGCAATTGGAGGGGGTGGGGTGTGTTCGGGTCGGGGCAGGGTGGGGGGGTCTACCGGGGGTTAGGGGGTAGAAATCGTCAATTTTACGAACGGGGCACCGGAGCGGCCCTGGATCATCCAATGAAAATAATTACTAATTCATTATTGTTTTTTATGTAGATGTACGACATACAATGTCAACTTGCCGGCCCGATGAACGATGTTATGTTCACCCTCCAAAACACTCATCCATCCAGTCGTGCTTGGGCGGAACCAAGCTTTGTAAACAAAAAAGTATCTGTATGTCAAAACGATTCTCGTATTTTAGAAAAGATTAA